AGAGAAAATTACATAAAGTGAAAAGGAGAAATAAAAGGCTAAATGGAACTTAAAAGGAGGAGAAGTTAAAGGGTCTCAATTCATACCGTTCATCTAAAAAAGGAGGGAAAAGTCAATGGTTTAAGATGTTGGTAGCTTAAACGGTGTAGTCCATTTATGAAGCTTCTCAAAAAAGCTACCTAAAATGCTGTACAGCTCACCCTTGTGGCATAACAATAATCACACTTCTCGAAAAAAGAACCAGTTGAGCAAAAAGGTCAGTCCCCCTACCGCAGAACTGACCTGGGGGATGACTGTTGACTATCGAACTCCGATCTAACAAAAATAATTCGCTAACCTCACCTCAGGCAGATGTGAGTTCGTTCACTGCTCCCAATTCGGATTTGGCCGCTGTTATCTTAGAAAAACATCATGATTACTCCCTGTCACATCACCCTACCAATCATGCACACTTGCCACAATTGATGTCACCGTCGACCAAAACCAATAATCTGAAGCCTTGAATCCCAAGTCCCTTGCATGTCATCATCACCTGGGGAAAACATTGGCACATGGTCGCCGGCCTCATTGACCAATCACAGGAGAATTCGACAACTCGAGTTTTGAGCTCGGTACTATAATTGATTTGACTGATTTGATGTAATTTCGACCAAAACATGTATAAATAGTAGAGTAAAAGTGCTTTGAAAGGCAAGAAAATATACATGCAAAATCAAAATCTAATGACTTTCTCTCCATGCATTTTGTGATCATATGTAACAATAAATTGCCCTCTTTTCTTAAAGTTGGCTTGAGATTAGCCTTGCTAATTTCGATGTCAACAAGACCCATGACACTTAACACTCACCAATCAACTACCGTTCAGTGAATCCAAGGTACGGAATAAATATATTATGTTCCATTTTATTTTTTCGAGAAAGATTTATGAATCATTTAAGCTTGAGTTCCTGAAATGAATATGATGTTTGGAATGAATTATGCTATTACTTTGTTTTTAATATTTAATTAGATATGATGATTAATCTTTGAAAAAAAATGAGAGCATAATATATAATGTGATATCGATAACAAAATAAACCAAACATAATTTGACAATTATATGATATATATGGCTAGGACTTATTGAACAACTAGAAAAAACAATAGCTTGTAAAGCAACACTGAACCAAAGGTCCATCATTTAGTCTTATGAGAATTATGTAATGAACCCGACTCGTTCGCTTACGTTCAAGACATCTATGAGAGATGTATGGCGGCGGTTGATGCAAGACTAGAGATCATGCATATTGAGGCCATTCATAACCTAATAAACTCGCTTCCACCTCAATGGGAGAGACAAGGGATTGTGGTTAGAGATGAGATGCTCGAGGTAACCCCCTAAAGCACTCAAACATGATTGAGTTTGGCACGTATTGTTAGTCCCTTTTGAATAAGTATAAGAGAACCTACTACCACAACAAGAGCCAGAAGATGAGTTAGCAGACGAGGTAGAAGATGAGGCCAAGCCAGAGCCCGAGCTCGAGTATGAATCGGACCCTGAGGAAGAGCCTGAATCGGAGCATGAAGATAACTTGGGGTTGGAGTTAGAGGATAATCTCGAGCCACAAGTTGAAATAAAGATAGAGTCTGGGCCCGAGGCAGACGACTTCTCAGAAGATGAGGCTCCACCAAAGAAGATTTGTAGGATCCATAGAAAATAGAAACTTAGATTCTACTTCCTTGTTCTGTGATGTTTTCCTTCCCATTCAGAAAGAAAATGCTTTATGTTATTTGAGATTTATTTTAATCAATAGTACATCCTAGTTTCAAGGATTTATATTCATGATATTTCATTTTTCCTTTGAATATAATAAGCTGTGTTGTCCAAGGTTTCTAAAACAAAATTTTAAATTTTGTTGATTTAAAGGAAATGACACAGCAACAAAATCAACCAGCTATGTTCAGGGATCTTGTGAAGGCAGTGCATGACCTTGGTAGATGACATGCACCAGCTAGTGCCAACAACACGGGTGCAATTGTAGAGCAGTTTTGTCACTTTAAGCCTCCTTCTTTTGATGGAAAAGCCGATCCTTTTGCACCCAAGAAACGGCGAAGAGGATTAGAGCAAATTTTCAAACACATGGAATGTAGTGATACCCAAAAGGGATCATGCGTCGAATTTATGCTGATTGATGCAGCAGGTCACAGGTGGGAGTCTGCTTTAAGCACTAGAACAGAAGCAGAACAATGTGCTATGACTTGGGTATAGTTCAAAGAGGAAGTAATGAAAAAGTACTTTCATCAGTCCCTAAGGGATCAAAGAGAGGCAGAATTTCTACAACTGAAGTAGGGAAAAATGCCGCTTGAAGATTATGAAAGAAAGTTCGAACAACTTTCTAAGTATGCCCTACACTAAAGCAAAGAAGGCCAGGAGGTTTGAACTAGGATTTCGTCCAGAGATTGGAGGAATCATGGTATCTCACCATACCACAACCTACAGTGAAGTACTACAATGAGCTCAATCAATTTTTGATCGATTGGAAATTGATAGGATGATCAAGAAAAGTGATGAATCTTTTGGAAAACGAAAGTGGAATGGGTCGAACATAAAGAAAGGATTTGGACAGAACAAAAAAGCCAACACAGGATTAGGGTCAGGATCAAGCAAACCAAATAAGGTTATTCCTCCATGTCCTAAATGCTACAAAGGCCATAGGGGAGAATGTTGGTTTGGAAAGAATGTGTGCTATCGATGTGGCCATGAAGGGCATTTTGCTCCAGACTGCAAGGCATATCCATCTAAGAAATACTACGAGCAAAACAAGAAAGGAAAAGCCAAGGTCTTTGGTTTGACCCAGGAAGAGGCAACAAAGGATCCGAATGTAATGACAGGTATTCTATCAGTATCTGAACTACTTGCATATGTTCTTATTGACTTAGGAACTACTCATTCATTTGTCTCTACTGCATTTATTGCTAAATCATGTATTCCATATGAAAAATTGGATAGTGTTTTAGAAGTTACCATCCCATCAGTTAGAACATTGAACACCAATCGGATAGTTAGGGCGATAAAGTTAAAAATGGATGGAAGGGAATTAAAAGTTGACCTATACATCTTAGATATGAAAGACTTTGATGTTATTCTGGGAATGGATTGGTTGTGGAGCAATCATGCGACCATTCGATGTTTTGAGAATGAAGTAATTTTTCAAAAGCCTGGGGAGAAAGAGTTTCGATTCTTTGCGGCGCGAGTAAAGTTTTTACCTCGCATCATGTCCGCCATGAAGGCAAAACGATGTTGAAGAAGAAATCTTGCCATGGAATTTTGGTGAATATATCTAGAGCACAACAATCGGAGGTTCCTCTTAGTGTGGTACCAATTGTACGAGATTTTATTGATGCGTTCCCTGATGATCTACCAGCACTTTGCCAAATAGACAAGTTGAGTTTACGATTGATCTCATGCCTGGAGCAGCGCCAGTATCTAAAGCTTCTTATAGAATGGCACCAAAGAAGCTACAAGAATTGAAAATACAGCTACAAGAATTGTTGGATAAAGGCTTCATCCGACCAAGCGTATCTCCTTGCAGTACACCAATTTTATTCATAAAGAATAAAGACGGTTCAATGAGAATGTGCATTGACTACCGTGAGCTAAACTTGTTAACTATTAAAAATAAATATCCCCTGCCACAGATTGAAGACCTCTTTGATCAATTAAAGGGTGCAATAGTATTTTTCAAGATTGATTTAAGGTCAGGTTATCACCAGCTGAAAGTAAAGGCAAATGATATTTCGAAGACGGCATTTAGAACTCGCTATGGTCATTACGAGTTCACTGTAATGCTTTTTGGATTGACAAATGTCCCTGCAATGTTCATGGACTTGATAAATCGGGTATTTCATCAATGGCTACATCAATTCGTCATTGTTTTCATTGATGATATTTTGGTGTATTCGAGGAACAAGGAGCAATATGAAGAACAACTTAAAATAGTATTGGAAACACTGAGGAATGAGAAATTGTTTGCTAAATTCAAAAAGTGTGAATTTTGGTTAGATCGTATAGGCTTTCTGGGTCATGTGATTACAGCACAAGGAATTCAAGTAGACACTACTAAAGTTGAGGCGGTAACCAAGTGGCTTAAATCGTCGAATCTAGGTGAAGTCTGTAGCTTTTTGGGATTGGCTGGTTATTATCGAAGATTCATCGAAGGATTTTCTAAAATAGCTGGGCCGATGACCCCAACTAATTAAAAAAGCGGTAAAATTTCAGTGGACTGAGAAGCATGAGAAGAGTTTTCAAGAACTAAAATAGAAATTGGTCACGGCTCCAGTATTGGCTATACCGGAGGGCTCGAATGGATTTGTTATATATAGTGATGCATCTAAATAGGGTTTAGGGTGTGTATTGATGTAGAATGGAAAGGTGATCACTTATGCTTCAAGACAATTAAAACAACATGAGCAAAACTACCCACAGACGATTTAGAATTGACGGCGGTGGTACATGCTCTAAAGATATGACACCACTATCTCTATGGGGAAAAACGTGACATCTATACGGATCACAAAAGCCTGAAATATTTCTTCAGACAGAAGGAGTTAAATATGAGGCAGAGAAGGTGGTTAGAATTGGTTAAGGACTTTGACTGCATTATTCATTACCATCCGAGTAAGGCAAATGTAGTCGCTGATACCCTTAGTAGAAAGACAGTGGGACAATTGGTAGCTCTACCCACAACTGAAGGACAATTGTTAAAGGAATTTGAGAAATTGAGATTGGAAGTCGTCATCCCGTCGACTCAAGTTACTACAAAGATTTTTGTATTGAAGATCCAACCTATACTTAGGGATTGCATCAAAGATGCCCAAGACAATGACCCATTCACCCATTCTTGAAAAAAATTAAAGCAAAAGTTGGTATAAGTAAACGAAAGGGTTTTACTTTAGCAAATCATAATGCTTTGACGTTTGAGGGAATACTGTGTGTTCTGAAGGATGAAGGAATAAGGAAAGAGATATTAGAAGAAGCTCATTCTACCCCGTACGCTGTGCATCCCGATAGTACAAAGATGTATCGAGACCTTCGCGATACATTTTGATGGAGGAACATGAAAAGATGAATTGGTCTATTTGTTGAGAAATGAATGATATGCCAACAAGCTAAGGCCGAACATCAGAGACCATCAGGGCCATTAAACCCATTAGAAATTCCAGAGTGGAAATGGGAGAAGATAGCTATGGATTTTGTGGTAAATTTTCCAAAGACAAATCGAGGATATGATGCTATTTAGGTAATTGTGGATAGATTGACAAAATTGGCTTACTTTCTTCCAATACGAATGAACTACAATATGGATCAGTTTGCCCAGTTATATGTCAAGGAAATTATCAAGCTGTATGGAGTTCCGACTTCTATTGACTCAGACCGAGATCCAAGGTTCACTTCCAAAATTTTGAAGAGCCTGCAAGGAGCTATGAGGACAAAGTTAAATTCAATACTGTCTATCATCCCCAATCAGATGGACAATCAGAAAGGAACATTCAGACTCTAGAAGATATGCTTGGAGCATGTGTCTCGGATTTTGGAGGTAGTTGGGAGTCATTTCTACCATTAGTAGAGTTTGCATACAATAATAGCTTTCAGGCTACTATTGACATGACTCCTTATGAAGCTCTCTATAGTAGAAGATTTAGATCACCGGCTCATTGGGATGAAGTCGGAGAAAATAGAATTTTTGGTCCAGAAATTATTGCAAAAATAATGCAAGCAGTTGATAAAATTAGAGACAGAATAAAGTTAGCTCAAGATAGACAAAAAAGCTATGCAGACCAAAAAAGAAAGTCGGTTGAGTTTGAAGTCGGAGAGAAAGTATTTCGAAAAGTAGCGCCAATAAAAGGGGTTCTAAGATTTGGAAAGAAGGGGAAGTTGAGATCGCGATTCATAAGTCTTTTTGGAATTCTAGAAAGAATTGGAAATATGGCGTACCGTTTAGCATTGCCACCTAGATATCGGCAGTACATAACGTGTTTCACGTGTCAATGTTTAGAAAGTATGTGCATGATCCTAAACATGTGATAAGCTATGACTCACTAGAAGTGCAGAGAGACTTGACTTATGAAGAGGGTCCCGTGGAAATTATTGAGAGGAAAGCGCATGCTTTGAGGAACTAGGAAGTTGCCTTAGTTAAAATTCGATGGAGAAATCATGGAGTCGAAGAAGCTACTTGGAAGAAAGAAGAAGAGATAAACACCAAGTATCTAGAGCATTTCGATTAGATTAGGTAATTTCGTGGACGAAATTATTTTAAGGGGGAAGGGATGTAATGTTCCAAAATTTATTTACCTCTTACGTAGGTCTTAAATTTTGTTAATGCAACTTTGATCATTAGCAAATTAATTGGTCCATGCCTACATTATCATTATAATAAAGTTCATTAATTAAAATGATAATACAATATATATGTATATTTTTTTAAAAAAATTTAAGTATTTCCTAATTATGCATTTTTCTTATTTTTTTTCTAAATATTATGTTGTCCCAATAATTTGGTATAGTAGATATTAACAAAAATATATGAATATGGATCTCATCTTGTAGATCGTGTTAAATTACGTAAATCGGGTTTAAGAGAAATTTATTTTGAACGCATTTTATCAAGTTTTTGTGGTCAAAACGAAATTTGTATAACCATTTAATATAATATTAATTATTATGTTTCTTTGCATTGATTGGTTGGCATGTGTGAGATTTCACGTGGTAAACAAATAACCAATCTTATCATTTTGTTTGCTTTGAGTTCTATTAGTGGTATACGTGTGTGTAAGTTATGAGATCATGTGGTGGTTTTTTTTTCAAACACTTGGCGATTTTCTTTTACCCACCCACCATGCACATTTATTTAACTTACCACATGGTTATTTCATACATATAAAGTTATAAATTCCATATACTTTGCTATTCTTCGAGTCAAGGGAAACAGGAGAATCCATTTTCAAGTTTTTAACAAATTCAGATTTTTAAGGTAAGATACATAAGTGCAGTGGTTAAAATTTTTATTCTCCATAATACTATATTATGATTTCATCCAATGCCTTAAAATTCCAAGAAATGATTTTTATGTTAAATCTTTCGGGATGGACCGTTAGGTCCAATTATGTTAAATCCTACGGGATGTGGGAATTCTAAAGAAATTCCTTAAACCATATGAATGTCGGGTATGAAATTTGAACGTATCTTACTAAGAATTTTGTTTAAAATACTCACTCTTACAAACAAATTTCATATTAGAACAGGTCGTGCTGGACACGTGAAAGATTGGACGAGTGGATGCTTCTGGATTGCCAAGTAAAAAAAAAAAAAAGATTTTTACTATATTCATGACTAGGCTTTTATTTTGATATGTTCATGTTTAGTATCTGTACATTTATTCTGCAGTTTTGACATTCATATTTGTGTATTTCATTTAAATTGATGTTGAATGATTTTAATTAATTTAAATGTTAGTTGGTTACTCTTTTAAATTCATATAGTCGATTAATCAAATTTTCTTTAAAATTCCAAAAGTAGATTTTATTTCTTCAAAAATAAGAAACTTGGTAACACTCCTTTTGTTTAAAAAAATATATATATAAAAAAAAAAAGGGAAGTTACAAAAATGATAACTTTATATTTTTTACATTAAAAAATTTAAATAAAAAACAACAAAAAAGAAGAAGAAAACAAAATGAAAAGGAAAAAAACAAATCTTCTTCTCCCTCACACTCACCCAACCCTTAACCCAAAATCGAAAATCCCGTTTTCAGATTTTCACCTAATTCTACCCTTGACCCTTCTCTTTTTTTCTCTCCCCACTTTCTTAGCTCAAAAAACTTTTCTTCTACAAATGCTTCAACCAAAAAGAAATCCCATTTCCATATTTTTCACCATTATCTATTCAAAATTCTATTTTGGAAGAGCTAGTTTTCATTGA